AGCGAAACGTCCAGCTTGCACTTTGCGGCGTCTTTCTGTAACCCTGGCTACTCAAGCGCGTTCCTTCTTGGAATGGGTATGCGTCCTCACAGCGTATACTGCGCCCAGCCCGTTCATCAAACTCCTCGTCTTAGCACAAGGCGTCCGAAAAATGGGAGGTGGTAAATAGAACAGGCGGGGCTCGCCTTGCCGTGTTCTGTTCAGCGTGAGGCAACTGCCGAAGAGTCCTGCACCCTTTTCGCCGGGGCCACGAATCGACGTCCGTGACTTCTGCGTTGATTAACGGCGCCATTGCATCATTCGCTCCCAATTTACTCCTTCATCCTCCTCGCGGCGTGTGCCACGTGGTCTTGCACGGCAGCGACAACCGATCGGGAGGGGGGGACCCAGCCATAACTAGGTCAGAGGGGGAGGGCGACAATGAGCTAGGGGTTCTCGCCGTGCCAAGTCGCACCACCACGCGTTCGCCGCAGTGACATACTCGGGAATTTTCATGTCAGCACCTTAAGCTTATCCCCTGGGACTAAAGCATCAAGACCTCCCCGGCGAAAGCGCTTGGGATTCGGCAGTGAGATCACCAGATCCACTTGAACCCTTGGACGCAGTCAGTGTCAGGATGCCACTAAGAGTCAGGATGCCACGGCTGCATGAATCCCACCAGCCCTCTGGGCGTAGGCGGTTTATGGAGTTTCCTTTTACCCCTCCCCCTACCCCCTCCCCTGGACCTGGACGGGGGGTTCCGCGAGTCGTCGGAGCGTCCAAAACGGCCTCGGCGAAGAAGCCACAACCATTGGTTTTACTAAGGTTTTGGCCTCATTTTGGCCTCCTGAGGGGGGGACTGAGTACCCCCCCACTCTGTGATCGATCTCACCCAGTATGGCCCAAAGATGGCCCCCAAGGCTCCCAAGGGTGCCCCAAGAGGGCCCCAAGAGGTGGCCAGGAAGCCCCAAGAGGCCACCAGGATGCCCCCAAGAGGCTCCCAAGAGACCCCCCAGAGGCCCCAAGAGACCCCCCAGAGGCACCCAAGATGCTCCAAGAGGCCTCGGCGAGAATGCCAAATCATTGATTCTACCAAGGTTTTAGCCACATGGTGGCCTCTTGGGGGGGGGGGGCACTGATTAAGATGACTCCAAGAGCACCTGGGAGAGCCCAAGATGACTTCCAAGATGGCTCCAGATATCCCAAGATGTCTCATAATGGCTTCCTCTGTGTGCTGCCCACTTCCCTGATCGAGGCAATTACCCTGGGCATCGTTTCTGGATGGGCTGGTGGGGATTTGCGAAGCGTCAACAATACCCTTCCTCTAATTTCAATTCGCGCGTTGGCGTTTGCTCACCTTGTTTCTTGGAACATTGCAAATTTGCGCGACAAGCCGGAAGCTTGGAATGCGCAGCAGTTGCACAAGTGGACGCCCGTTCGTTTTCAAAAAAGTAGGTCGCCTTAGCGCCGCGCGCATCCGTCTTAAAAACTTGCACCAGGTACGTGGGTGGAAATGCCCTTGTCAAAATGGTGCCCTCGCCATCGCGCCGCGCACATGTATCTTGAGCAATCAACATTTGCACGGAATGTGGCTCCCGCGTGAGACATCCGCAGAAGTGTCACCACAAGTGTAACATTGTGCGACAGCTGTGCGGGTGGAGTGCGGTCCTTTTTCGAAATGGGGCTCCCGCCTCAGAATGTCACAACATTGCGACCAACATTAACGTTTTTTCCCCACATCCTAAGTGGGGTTCTTGTTTTCTCTGCACACCCTCCGCGCAGGATCTCTCCTCCTCCTCCTCCTCCCTCTCCTCTGCTCCTCTTTGCTCCCTCCTCCGCATCATCATCATCACCATCACCATCACTCCCCACTCATCATCATCATCATCACCATCAGCATCACCATCACCATTCCACGATCACTCACCATCATCGGCATCGAACGATCATCATCATCATCATCATCATCATCATCATCATCATCATCATCATCATCATCATCATCATCATCATCATCATCCTCATCATCATCATCATCATCATCATCACTACTCGCTGACTTGAGGCCTGAATATGGAGGAAGTATCGGCGGGAGCCTCGTCTGTGAGTGAATTGTGAGGAAGTCTCAGGCGGGAGCCCCCTCCCTATGGGGCCCGCACTTCATGTTCGAATCCGAACGGGTCATCCGCAACGTGTATCCGTCGTCACTTTTGGGCCCTTGAGGCTGAATATGGAGGAGATCTCGAGCGGGAGCCTCGTCTGTGAGTGAATTGTGAGGAAGTCTCAAGCGGGAACCCCCTTCCTATGGGGCCCGCACTTCATGTTCGAATCCGAGCGGGTCATCCGCAACGTGCAACTGTCGTCACTTTTGGCTTTTGAGACCTGAGTGTGGAGGAAGTCTCAAGCGGGAGCCTCGTCTGTGAGTGAATTGCGAGGAAGTCTCAGGCGGGAGCCCCCTCCCTATGTGGCCCTCGCTTCATGTTCGAATCCGAGCGGGTCATCCGAAACGTGTAACTGTCGTCATTTTTGGGTTCTTGTGACCTGAATATGGAGGAAGTCTCGAGCGGGAGCCTCGTCTGTGAGTGAATTGTGAGGAAGTCTCAAGCGGGAGCCCCCTCCCTATGGGGCCCGCACTTCATGTTCGAATCCGAGCGGGTCATCCGCAACGTGCAACTGTCGTCACTTTTGGGCTCTTGAGACCTGAATATGGAGGAAGTCTCGAGCGGGAGCTTCGTCTGTGAGTGAATTGCGAGGAAGTCTCAGGCGGGAGCCCCCTCCCTATGGGGCCCGCGCTTCATGTTCGAATCCGAGCGGGTCATCCGAAACGTGTAACCGTCGTCACTTTTGGGCTCTTGAGGCCTGAATATGGAGGAAGTATCGGGCGGGAGCCTCGTCTGTGAGTGAATTGTGAGGAAGTCTCAGGCGGGAGCCCTCTCCCTATGGGGCCCGCACTTCATGTTCGAATCCGAACGGGTCATCCGCAACGTGCATCTGTCGTCCTTTTGGGCTCTTGAGACCTGAATATGGAGGAAGTCTCGAGCGGGAGCCCCGTCGGTGAGTAAATTGTGAGGAAGTCTCAGGCGGGAGCCCCCTCCGTATGGGGCCCGCACTTCACGTTCGAATCCGAGCGGGTCATCCGCAACGTGCAACTGTCGTCACTTTTAGGCTCTTGAAACCTGAATATGGAGGAAGTCTCGAGCGGGAGCCTCGTCTGTGAGTGAATTGCGAGGAAGTCTCAGGCGGGAGCCCCCTCCCTATGGGGCCCGCACTTCATGTTCGAATCCGAACGGGTCATCCGCGACGTGTATCCGTCGTCACTTTTGGGCCCTTGAGGCCTGAATATGGAGGAAATCTCGAGCGGGAGCCTCGTCTGTGAGTGAATTGTGAGGAAGTCTCAGGCGGGAACCCCCTTCCTATGGGGCCCGCACTTCATGTTCGAATCCGAGCGGGTCATCCGCAACGTGCAACTGTCGTCACTTTTGCGCTTTTGAGACCTGAATGTGGAGGAAGTCTCGAGCGGGAGCCTCGTCTGTGAGTGAATTGCGAGGAAGTCTCAGGCGGGAGCCCCCTCCCTATGGGGCCCGCACTTCATGTTCGAATCCGAGCGGGTCATCCGCAACGTGCAACTGTCGTCACTTTTGGGCTCTTGAAACCTGAATATGGAGGAAGTCTCGAGCGGGAGCCTACGGCCCAGCCCGAAGGTTTGTCTCGACGGCTTCGCGATCTAGCCGTCGGCAGACGCGCGCGCGCTGGCCGAGGCGGCGACGGCGCTGAGGAAAATGGATTTGCTTGCCCCGACGAGGGGGAAGGGGAGGTGCACCTGGAGAAAAGGCAGGGAGATGAGGAGGGAAGGGGCATGGGGGAGGCCGACGACGAGGAGGAGGTGGCGCGAGAGGAGGAGGAGGAGGAGGAGGAGGAGGAGGAGGAGGAGGAGGAGGAGGAGGAGGAGGAGGAGGAGGAGGAGGAGGAGGAGGAGGAGGGAGGAGGAGGAGGCGGAGGAGGAGGAGGAGGATGAGGAGGAGGAGGAGAGGAGGAGGAGGAGGAGGAGGAGGAGGAGGAGAGAGGAAGGAGGAAAAAATATAAGGGGGAAGAGAGGGCAGTGCAGGGGGCGAGAGGAGAGGGTGTCCGCCAGGGGGAGGAGGAAAGGGCAAAGGGTAAGCTAAACAGATTCTCATGTGGGGTCCTACCGTCGGAGTAATTCGTTGTCTCCCCATTTTTGCGACGCGCGCGCTGAGCGGTCGTGGCGCCGCGCGGCAGCGCCCAACGCCTCGAGAGGCGGTGCCCGGCTCTGGCGAGTGCACCTACTGGGGGGGGGTCCCGCCACACACGACCCGCACATGGGAGCTTGAACAGATGTAGCAGCTGCACGGATGGAGGGCGGTTCCTTCTCACACTGGGGCTCTGGCAAGAGATCTCCCCGAATGAATGCCCAGAAACGTCAACGAGTGTAGCAGCTGCACGCCTACAAGGGTGGGGGCTTCTTCTCAAAACGGGGTTTTCTCTGGACACATCGTGGAATTTGATGAGCCTACCTTGTCGCATTCCATACAAGTCGTTATCGCCGGAATGGCAGGCCCCAAGCGGTGCTCGTCCATCGAAGGGCGCTTCTGGTAGTGAAAGGGGACGCTCTGGAGCGACGTGTGAAGAGGGATTCGGTCTGGAACTCTCTGACTGAACTTCGCCTTGGCCGAATCCGCCTTTTGATTCATAATATTGTAAAATATTGTTAATGCCGACGAAGAGCGCTGGCGGAGACTTGTGCGGAGGGAACTTGGGACGGAAAGGTGTATTGCAGCATCGTTGACACATCTTGGGCTCCAACTGGTCCACATTTTCCTCCTCGAGCGTAGCCGAGGGGGGCGCGCCAATGTTCTGGAGGTCCGCCGTCACCCCGTGCCCGCCGCTTTGGCAGGCCGTGGGGCCTCATGCCTCACTGTGGGTGGCAAGCGTGCCGTCTGGTCCTCGTTCTCTTCCTCGTCCCCCCCCCCGCCGCGCGCGCCGCGCGCCGCGACCCGCGGGGCCTGCGCGGGGCCGCGCGGCGCTCGCCCGAGCTGGGCGCTCGTCGCCGCTGTCCTCCTGTACGAAGGAGGAGGAGGAGGAGGAGGGGGAGGAGGAGGAGCAGGAGGAGGAGGACGAGGAGGAGGAGAAGGAGGAGGAGGAGGAGGAGGAGGAGGAGAAGGAGAAGGAGGAGGAGGAGGAGGAGCAGGAGGAGGAGGAGGAGGAGGAGGAGGAGGAGGAAGAGGAGGAGGAGCGCACGTACCCTCAGAGAGCAATCCTCCATCTCAGGCGCCCGTTGCAATTCTGGCGCCTCGCAGAACCTTCAAATGATATTCGAGGTCACAGGCAGAGCCAGGGGCGGCATCCTGTTCCGCCTTGAGTTTATGGTAGAAGTCCTTTATGGTAGACAAGGGAGGAGGAGAGGAGGAGGAGGAGGAGGAGGAGGAGGAGGAGGAGGAGGAGGAGGAGGAGGAGGAGGAGGAGGAGGATGGGAGGAGGGGAGGAGGAGGAGGAGGAGGAGGAGGAGGAGGAGGAGGAGGAGGAGGAGGAGGAGAGGAGGAGGAGGGAGGAGGAGGAGGAGGAGGAGGAGGAGGGGGGGGGGACATTGCTACAAAAGCGGGCGGGGGCCTCAGACGCCACTCCGAGCGGCGAGAATCCACGATCATCATGCTGGCGCTCAGCAGCACGTTGCAACAGATCATCGGCACAGCACGCAAGACTCGTACTGCAGCCACGTAATTGCAGAAGGTCCGAGCGGCGAAGGAACGGCATGCCAGGAGCTGGCCAATCACGCAGGACGTCGTCGGGATGGTCACGACGATCCGCGTCGGCCACTCCAAGCGGCGGGACGGCACGCGCATCAGCATGCAGAGCTTCTTCGGGAATGGCTTGGCGAGCAGCAAAAGCCACGCGAGGCGGCAGAGCGGCACGAGCATCATCATGCGCCACTCCGTGGGGATGGTCGGGGCGAGCCGCAGCAGCCACTCCAGGCGGCGGGACGGCACGTGCAGCAACATGCAGAGCTTCTTCGCGGTTGTCGTGGTGTGCAGCGCTAGCCACTCCATGCGGCAAAACGGCACGAGCAGGAAGCAGAGCTGCTTCGGGATGGTCGAGACGAGCCACGTCAGCCACTCCAGGCGGCAGGGCGGCACGAGCAACATCATGCAGCTCTTCTGGGGGACGGACGGGACGAGCAGCGACAACCACTCCTGGCTGTGGGGCGGCACGAGCAACATCATGCAGAGCCTCCTGTGGATAGTCAGGCTCTCCAGTCCCAGCAACCTTGAATGTCCTGGGGTGGGTGGAAGGAACTCGGAGGGCCCGTCATTGGGCATTCCGTGTTGCACTCTGGGCCTGTGGACGGCGCCCCGACGGACTGGTCGCTCTCCGTGGACAGGGTAGTCTCGAACACGAGGTCGTAACACGCGTCGAAGCAGCGGACGAAGGGCCTGTTCTGGAGGAGCGTCTTACGCCGTGCTGCGCGCTGCCATTCGCGTACAAGGGGGCGTAGGGCAGCAAGAGCCACACCAACAGCACGGGGACGGGATTCAGCAGCGGCAGCTTCATGCAGAGCACTATCAGGGGCGCCGTCCCCAGCGACGTCAGCAGGAGCGTCTCCAGCACCAGCAGGGGGAGCGTCGAGAAGTAGGTCATGCAGGCCGCCAGCAAGAGGGGGGGGGGGGCACATTGCTACAAAAGCGGGCGGGGGCCTCAGACGCCACTCCGGGCGGCGAGAATCCACGATCATCAGGCTGGCGCTCAGCAGCACGTTGCAACAGATCATCGGCATAGCACGCAAGACTCGTACTACAGCCACGTAGTTGCAGAAGGTCCGAGCGGCGAAGGAACGACATGCCAAGAGCTGGCCAGTCATGCAGGGCGTCGTCAGGATGGTCACGACGATCCGCGTCGGCCACTCCAAGCGGCGGGACGGCACGCGCATCAGCATGCAGAGCTTCTTCGGGAATGGCTTGACGAGCAGCAAACGCCACACGAGGCGGCAAAGCGGCACGAGCATCATCATGCGCCACTCCGTGGGGATGGTCGGGGCGAGCCGCAGCAGCCACTCCAGGCGGCGGGACGGCACGTGCAGCAACATGCAGAGCTTCTTCGTGGTTGTCGTGGTGTGCAGCGCTAGCCACTCCACGCGGCAAAACGGCACGAGCAGGAAGAAGAGCTGCTTCGGGATGGTCGAGACGAGCCACGTCAGCCACTCCAGGCGGCAGGACGGCACGAGCAACATCATGCAGCTCTTCTGGGGGACGGACGGGACGAGCAGCGACAACCACTCCTGGCTGTGGGGCGGCACAAGCAACATCATGCAGAGTCTCCTGTGGATAGTCAGGCTCTCCAGTCCCAGCAACCTTGGATGTCCTGGGGTGGGTGGAACTCGGAGGGCCCGTCATAGGGCATTCCGTGTTGCACTCTGGGCCTGTGAACGGCGCCCCGACGGACTGGTCGCTCTCCGTGGACAGGGTAGTCTCGAACACGAGGTCGTACCACGCGTCGAAGCAGCGGACGAAGGGCCTGTTCTGGAGGAGCGTCTTACGCCGTGCTGCGCGCTGCCATTCGCGTACAAGGGGGCGTAGGGCGGCTGCTCCGTGGGATCTCGGGCTTGGGCCGAAATGAGTTCCACAGCTATTTCGCCCAAAGCCCCCTGGCCGAGCGCCGCGCCGCCAGCGTTTGAGGACGTCGGATCCGTATGTCCACGCGATGGCGCCCGCTGCCTCTGCTGCTGACGCTGTTCGTCATGCCGCACCGCAGGAGTGCTGACGCTCTGCATCGCCGCGCATGCCAAGCTCTGCAAGGCGGTCGCGGCCCAGCACGCGTTGGCAAGCGCCAGACTCTTCAACTTTACGTTCTCCTTCCACACGTTGCTGCGCCTCCAGCCGCCTCGCGGGTGATTACTCCGCTGGGCACTTGCAGGGGCAACGAGCTGCCGCTGGTCGCGAACTTCTTGCAGCTGATTCGCGGGCGTCCTCCTAACGTTGCCCATGGTCCTGAAGTTCGGCCTCACCGACGCGAAGAGGCAGATGACGCACCAGCCCATGATGATCCTGCTCGTGCTGCTGCCGCCGAGGGCCGCCATCCTCCGCGACACCATTCCGTTCTTCTGCATGTGCAACCCGTTCATGAATCAGGAGGAGGAGGAGGAGGAGGAGGAGGAGGAGGAGCAGGAGGAGGTGGACGAGGAGAAGGAGAAGGAGGAGGAGGAGGAGGAGGAGGAGGAGGAGAAGGAGAAGGAGAAGGAGGAAGGAGGGAGGAGGAGGAGGAGGAGGAGCAGGAGGAGGAGGACGAAGAGGAGGAGAGAAGGATGAGGAGAAGGAGGAGGAGGAGGAGGAGGAGGAGCAGGAGGAGGAGGAGGAGGAGGAGGACGAGGAGGAGGAGGAGGAGAAGGAGGAGGAGGAGGAGGAGGAGGAGGAGAAGGAGAGGAGGAGGAGGAGGGGAGGAGGAGGGGAGGAGGGAGCAGGAGGATGAGGAGGACGAGGAGGAGGAGGAGGAGGAGGGAGGAGGAGGAGGAGGGAGGAGGAGAGGAGAAGGGAAGGAGGAGGAGGAGGAGAGGAGAGGGGAGGAGGAGGAGGGGGGAGCAGGAGCAGGAGGAGGAGGAGGAGGGGAGGAGGAGGAGGAGGAGGAGAAGGAGGAGGAGGAGGAGGAGGAGGAGGAGGAGGAGGACAATAGTAACGACTGCCTGAGACGGCGTGGAGGAGCAGGACGAAAAGGACAACAAGGCGGACGACTGCCTGACTAGCTGACTGTCACGACCCAAACGCGAAGGCTCCTTGGCAAAAACACTCTGCCCAGAAAGCAGAAGAGGAGGAAACTCGGAAGACGCGACGGCGCTTGCTGGCCTACGTCGGGAAACGATAAAGGAATAAGAAGAGCAGGAAGTTCCCAATGATGTCAACATAATCTCTGAGTCTGCTGCGGCCCCGTGTTGCGAGCACCTGGCAGTCTGTGCTGCGGAACGACGGAAAAGCAGAGAGGAGGGGAGAAGCAAGCAGACGACGCCGAACGCACAGGCGGGAGACCAGGGCAGGCGGGTTGAAGCCGTGGGCGGGCAGGCGGGAAGGGGCAGAGGGAACACAGCAAGCAGGGGGGCAGGGAGGGAAGGGAAGCGGGGGAAAGGGAGGGGCAACAGCTCCTCCGGGTCGGCCGCTGGGGCGCGTGCGGGCCGGCGCGCGCGGTAACCCAGCGCGGGCACCGCCTGGGCTCGGGAGCCCGCAGCGGGGCAACCGGACTCGTGGCGCACGATCCATCGCCTGGCGGTGCGCGGGCCATGCTCATCCTCCTCCCCCTCCTCTCTTCCCCATCCACGCCTCTTCGCGCTTCGCGCAATGAAGAAGAATGCTTGTGAGGACTTATGAGGGGGTGCTCGGGACGGACAGGTGTACTGCGGCGTCGTCGTTACATCTTGAATGTATTGAGGTCCTCAGCCCATCCCTCTTCCTGATGAGTAACTCTCCCCCGTCGCACCACCAGAAGTGTCCGTAGGCCGGGCCGCGCGTTCTGCTTCAGCCGTGCTTACCACTTATTTATGATCCTGAAGTAAAGCAGCCGCGAACTCAAACCGCTACAAGGATTGAGGGCTGTTTTTTTTCAACATGCGGCCATCGCGTTAGTGCTGCGCACTCACGTTTTTCAGCTTAATTAAAGGATGGAGGGTCGGTCGTTGTCAAAGTGCGGCTCTCATGTTAGCGCCGCGCACACTCGTTTCTTCCAGCTTCCAACAGATACAATAATGGAGGGCCGGTCGTTTTAAAAGTGCGGCTCTCGCGTTAGCGCCACGCGGCTCTCGTGGAGACTTCCCCACTTTCGACCACCAAGAATTTTCAAGTTGTGGAACACTTACGCGGATGGAGGGCGACTCCTTCTCAGAACGGGGTTATCGCTTGAGACTTTCGTGCTCTACGCGGATAGGGGGACGATCCTTTTCAAAACGGGGCTATCGCTGGACACTTCCTCGACCTTTATTATCCTACAGTGGGGGCCACTCCACAAGAAACCTTCCACAAGCAACCCAACCCTGAGACCCCAGGACGTCGATTGATTTTTTGGTGTGGGAACGTCACGCCTTCCACGGCAAAACCATCGAAACCCAAAAAACCCAGGGCACCTTGGTGGCAAGAAGGGTGTTTATTGGCATGGGTCTCCACTGTACCCCTTTGCGTTTTTCAACTCGGAGGACGGAGGATGGATCCTTCACACAAGAGGGCCTCGCCTGACCCGGGCGTTTGGGCGGAGGGTGAGACTTTGGGCGGGACCAAGGGGGGGAGACTTTGGGCGCGAGGGTGTGTTTGACGAATCCTGGGCTTGCTCTGGTCCTCCTCTTTCTCCTGCCATACTACTTCTGCTCAGGTTCCTGTTCCTTTCTCCTCCTCCTCCTCCTCCGCTTTCTCTTCCTCCTCCTCCTCCTCCTCCTCCTCCTCCTCCTCTCCATCCTCCCCTTGTTGCCTTGTCCTCCTCCTCCTCATTGCCCTCCTCCTCTCCTCCTGCTCCTTCTCCCCCTCCCATTATTTTTCCTCCGCCTCCTCCTCCTCTTCTTCTTCCTCCTCTTTCTCATCATCCTTCCTTCCACCTCTTGTTGCAAGGTCGGGTCACGAGGGGAAGGTATGCCATCGTGTCCACTAATCTGCATCAAGGCCTATCCAATCAGCAAAATCGCGTCGAGAAAAGATCGCACCCGATAAGCTGGGCAAGCTGGAGCCTTTTCAGGTGATGCCTGTCGAGGGGTACCACCGAGGGGATCACAAAACGAATCCGTTGGGCAAGGGGGGGCGTGTGACGCCGTGCTGAATCTAACGGCCACTTTGCTTAACGATCGGCAATCGTCCCCCATTTCCTTTTCCTCCTCGTTGCCGCCCTCCTCCTGCTCCTCCTCCTCCTCCTCCTCCTCCTCCTCCTACCCCTACTCTTCGTTATCCTCGTCCTCCTCCTCCTTCTCCCCCTCTTTATACCCCCATCAGCAATGACTCACCATAAATACTACTCTCCTCTCTCCCCCGAAGACGTGCTTAGAGTAGCGCGCCCCTCTCCGCGTATCGTTTTTTTTTTACACGCAGGATGGGCGCAGCGTGGGCCTCGACTGAGGATCGCGGGGCTGCTCCCATCGTTCAGAATGGCGCTCTCGCCCCAGCGTGGGCCGCTCTTTCTAAATCCGAGCCCGTCCTCATCGTTGTCGCCCCTCCTCTTTTCACTCCTCCGCTATCCCCCGCTATTCCTGCTCCTCCCGCTCCAAGTCCTGCTGCTGCCGTTCGTCCACGTACTCCTTCTTTCTCATCCTCGTTGTCCTTCTGCTCACCTGCCACCTCCTCCTTCTCCTCCTCCTTCTCCTCCTCTTCCTCCTCCTCCTCCTCCTCCTCCTCCTCCTCCTCCTATGTCAGCAGCTCCCATTTCCCGATTGTGCATAACACGACTGAATCTTTTATGGAATTCCACGTCCGCTGTGACACGCGTCCGCTGATAGAGAAAACGGCAGCGCAGTGGGAAGGGATGGGATGGAGGGGTAGGATATCAGGTGACGCGAGCGCACCTAGCTTTCATTTCTTGCCCGTCTGGCTGCCAGTGGAGATGACTTTGAACGGGCATGCTGGTTTCATTGGAAATTTGTTCGGCAAACCTATGTTGCCGCCGGGCGCATCCTGCCTCTGAAGGTGAGCGGAAACAACACAACGTCATCCAAGCAACACTGTGCTTGCATATGCTCGCTGGATCCCATGACCTTCGTACATGCAGACATGCGGTACGCATGCATGTGTCAATCTCAGCTTCGCTCTCTTTCTGTCGTTGTCTACCATGTAGATTGGCAACCGCTTCGCGACAAAATGGGTAACTCGATGAACTCTGATAATCTTCGACCTCGAGCACGGCCTGCTTCAAGTCTTCCAGAGTATAAGGCAACCATCAGTTCCACGCCGAATCAAACATAACCAAACGATGTAGTGTGATTATCAGGTCACGTTGAATCGAAGCTGCTGTCGAGTCCAAGCTCCATAGCAATACAGCGCGTCGACGCAAGCCACACACCTTGGTCTACTTCCCGTGCCACACAGTGCACACTGCAAGGCACAACTCCATCATCATCGCTTGGCAACCGCTTTATCTTGCATGAGCTAGAGGCCTCCCAACTGGGGCTCGGGTAGATGGGGTCGGAGGATCGTGCCGCATCGCCGATGCATCGGCGACGTCGGCGTGGAGAACACGGGGCTCCGCATCGGGCTGCATCGCCGATGCATCGCCGATGCGGAATGATCCTCCGACCCCATCTGCTCGAACCCCATCTGGGAGGCCCAGATGAGCGCCTCCGTACCGTCGCAGCACGAGGTCACCGTCTTGGCGTAGCCATGCTCTTAATACCGCCCAGACGCTGAGGCGAGGGTGGCCGCGTCCCGTGTCCCCTCCCCCCCTCCGGGTGCCCCTCCTCGCCTCTGGGCGCCCCGTCCCGCACCCCCCCCAACGCATTGCCCCCTCCCCCTCCCGGGCGCCCTCCATCCCCACCTTCCTGGGGGCCCGCGCAAGCGCGGTGGCGGAATCGCGCGCAGTGCAACTGGACACCTAGACGTTGCTGCGCTTTCCCGCTCGTAGAGCCTGCTAGCTAGATAACGTACTCCATGGCGTCGCTCAGCTCCACCAGGCCGGCCTCATCTAGCAAACTTCATTCTTGAGGTTTCTGGAATCTTAAAGCTATAGGAGGCCACTGCGATGCCGAGCGCCTGCGCCGTGCAGAGAGGAAGAGGTGCGCATTTGTCTATCGAACTGCGGCTCCAAAATGTGCATAGTTGCTGCTAGGTCCACGCAGAAAGTGCTGCGGGCAAATTCTAAATCATACAACAGGCTCTTCACACGAGTGCTTGCGTCGCTTCATGCTTGAACACATCTCTTCACTGGCGACAGAGAGGTCGGCAACCTAATGCGCATGGTGTAGCATTGTGCCAGCGAGCGAATGGCACCAATGCCGTGCACACTGTCCGCACAAAGGCGGCCCAAAAAACCTTCAAGACAGCCGTGCCAGGAGGCGAGCGACATCGCGACGAGGAGGCGTGCGCCGTGAGCAGCGGCAACCCGTGCGGAGACAGCCGTGATGGCCGCAACCGAGACCTGCACCGAAGTTGCCCCGGCTTCCCCCCACCCCCTCCCTGGAGCATCATGCCTTCCTTCCTGCCTTCTAGCCTCCCTCCCTCCCTGGAGGCACCGCCTCGCTTCTCCCCCCGCCCCCGCTCAGCCCCCCCTCGCTCGCCACGTCAGGTTGATCCGGGGCCCTCTCGCAGACCTCGGGGAGGGCGCGGTTGCCGGCGCTCGGGTGGAGGAGGGTTGTCGTCGTCGTCGTCGTTGTCGCCGTCGCCGCCGTCGTCGTCGTCGTCGTCGTCGTCGTCGTCGTCGTCGTCGTCGCCGCCGCCGCTGCCGCCGCCGCCGCCATCGTCGTCGTTGTCGTCGTCGTCGTCGTCGTCGTCGCCGACATCGTCGTCGTCGTCCAGCTTCTCCTCCTCCTCCTCCTCCTCCTCCTCCTCCTCCTCCTCCTGCTCTGCTCCTGCTCTGCTCCTGCTCCTGCTCCTCCTCCTCCTCCTCCTCCTCCTCTCCTCCTCCTCCTCCTCCTCCTCCTCCTCCTCCTCCTCCTCCTCCTCCTCATCCTCATCCTCCTCTCCTCATCTCTCATCTCATCTCATCCTCATCCTCATCCTCATCCATCCTCATCCTCATCCTCATCATCATCATCATCATCATCATCATCATCATCATCATCATCATCATCATCATCATCATCATCATCATCATCATCATCATATCATCATCATCATATCATCCATCATCATTATCATCAGCTCCTCCTCATCCTCATCCTCCTCCTCCTCTTCCTCCTCTTCCTCCGCCTCCTCCTCCGCCTCCTCCTCCGCCTCCTCCTCCTCCGCCTCTTCCTCATCCCCCTCCTCTTCCCCGTCCCCTTATTTCGCACAGCCTCCTGTCCGCCGGCTCGAATGCAACTCTCTCTCTCGAGAGAGTAACGTGGTCTCCCCGGGGCGGCCGCTCGCTGGAGGGCTGGCCCGGAGACAACGGGCAGCAGATGCAGTTCGCTTCCCCTGGGCAGCTCTCGTCGATGGTGGCCCCAGCAGCCAGTGCCATAGGACCTCGCACATTCACGCACGGCGCAGCATGCACAAATTTCGAAGCGTAGCACGAACCCCCACAACGAATCACTGCATTCCCCCTGCTCCTCCTCCTCCCCCCTCCACCTCCTCCTCCTCCTCCTCCTCCACCTCCTCCTCCTCCTCCTCCTCCTCCTCCTCCTCCTCCTCCTCCTCCTCCTCCCCATCGAACATTAAACTTCACTGCCGAATTGATTCGGGAAAAAATCAGGGTCAAACGAGCTGGGCGGGAAGGCATGCATGCATGCATGTTCCCACCCCTTCCCCATTAACTGTTAACTACCCCATTTGTCCCCTACCCTTCCCCTCTCTCTTTTCCACACCTCTCCCTTCCCTCTGGCACGACGGCGTGACATCGAACAGACCCTGGACGCCTAGACACCATCAGAAAAGTGCAGCTCCGAAGCGCTAAAACAACTCTCAGCCGTCGGCGAAAGGCGAACTGCAGCCCGATGCCCTATCAGCGCGACCTCTCGAAGGGCACGCGGTGCTTGTAGTGCTTCTGTAGCAGCCCCTCCATGGTACACAAATCGCCATCCTGCCGGTGCTGACACTGTAGTCTCTGGGGAATGCGCTAAGCAACATGATACGGAGCAGAGTACGGATGCACAAACACGCCGTATGACACAACACCAAAACCACAACACATCGTATGTATAACATTTTCTCTGCACAGTGCTGGAACTGAGGAGTTCTTCCTTGTTTTCACAAGGATTGGAATTGAAAGTCGCGAGTGCTCGTTCTTGCCATGGTGATCTATGGGTGGTGCACTAGGGTGCCTTGAACGTCGCGAGTTCTCGTCATTGCCCTGGTGCCCTGTGAGGGGGGGTCTATCGCTGATATACCATATACTGTCTTGAAATTCGCGAGTTCTCGTTCTTGCCTTGGTCTCGCGGGTGGTGGGACATAGCTCAAGCACCATGCCTTTGAGTGTTGCGGGTGCTCGTTCTTGCCCTAGTGTCTCGTGGGTGATGCCTGATCGCTGCTGCATCAGGGTGCCGGTTCTCGTTCTTGTCATGGTGCCCTATGTGTGGTGGTCTATGGCCGAGGCCCTAAGGTGTCTTTGGAGTTTGCGGGGTCTCGTTGTTGCCCTGATGACATATGGGCGCTGCTCTATGGCTGCTGCCCTATGTTGACCTTGAACTGAGATTCATCGTGGTTACCATGGTGCCCTATGGGCGGCTCTCCACGGCTGCTGCACCACGACGCCTTGAAAGTCGCAGGTGCTGGCTCTTGCCCTGATGCCCTGTGGGCAGTGCACCATGGCTGCTGCACTGGGGTGCCTTGACGGTCGCGACTGTTCGTTCTTGTCCTGGCGCCCCATGGGTCGTGCTCTATGGCTAACGCCCTGTCTCCCAAAGGCACTTCACAGCAGGTTTTCTTGACTGTTTCTACAAGAGTTGGGCATGACGGTTGCGAGTTCTCGTTGATGCTCTGGTGCCCTATGGGTGGTACTCTATGGCTGGTGCCCTTATGATGATTTTGATGGTTGAGGTTGCGTGTTTTGCCCTGGTGCCCTACGGGTGGTGCTCTACAGCTGCTGGGCCGTGATGCCTTCGATGGGCGAAACTTGTTTGTTCGTGCCATGGCGCCCTATGTATGTCGCTCTGTTGCTGGTACCCTGTGATGCCCTTGATGGTCGCGATCTCTCCTTCGTGACCTGGCGCCCTGTGTGTGGTGCTGCATGACTGGTTCCCTAGGATGCCTTTGAAAGTTGCGATTGCTCGTTCTTGCTCTGGTACCCGATGGGTGGTGCCCTCATGGTCTGTGCCTGTGATGCGAAACCCTACTATTCGGGGTCCACGCTGGCAATCACATACAAGCAACATGGCGATGCCTCGTATGACAGCGCAGATGATGATTCTGGCAAAATGCATGGTACTAACAACGAAACACAAACGCATAAAGCGCCAACTATATTAAGGCACCAACCGTGTGATACGAACCTGAAGACACCATTCACAAGGCACCAACACATAGGACGCTGACGCAGAAGGCACCAGAACGCCAACGGCCAATCGACCACATCCGGCATCAATCCATATGGTACCAGCCCATCTGGCACCAACCATAGGGTACCAACCCGCATACGGCCATCTGCAACCTGCATGGCGACACACCAAGGGCACCAGGCACAAGGCACCCGCGCGCCAACGGCCGACTGCGACGCACAGGGCCGGTCCCTTACGACACAAGCCAACCGCCCTAAAGAGCCAGCACTGTTTTGAGAGCACCAGGAAACAGCAGGGCATCTGCCATTAAGGCATCAACGCGTAAAACATCGACGCATAGGGCGCGCTACCGCGCCTACGTGCGGCCAGCTGCGACGACCAGGCGCAGGTCATAGGGCACCGACGCAGGAAGCACTAGCCATACATGGGGCACCAGCGAGCTGACGACCGACTGCGACAACCAGGGTCAATTCGTGAGAGCATGCTGTCAGCGCGCGGGCCCCAAGCAGTAGAGGATTGTTGCCCCGCGTGTGCAAGCTATGCGCCAATGCTGAGACACCAACCCTGGGGCACCAACCTCACCAACCATGGGGCACTAACCGCACGAATGGCCGAGTACGACCCACATGGCTCCACATGGCACCAACAATGGGGCACCAACCAGTGGGCGCCAAAGCGCGAAAGACCAACTGTAACAATCAGGTCAAAAAGTGGATCTGCGCGTATGGCAACAGGCACAAGGCACCAGTGCGCCTACGGCCGACTGTGACGATCGAGACCAATCATTAGACACTAACGCATAGGGCATCAGCCATCCAACATAAGCGCACCTACGGCTGGCTGACACACACCGTGGGACACAAGCACAACTGCGGCCGATTGCGACAGGGCCAGACACAGAAGGCACCAACGCATGATGGCACAACCAGGGGGCACCGTCACGCCTGCCGCCGACTGCGACGATCACGGCCAGTTCCGGATAGCCCGAGTAAAAAACCCGAAGTGCAGCCACTGTTTGGGGAACAAGCACGCGCCCCGAAGTGCAAGCATGGGTTGGGCAAGTTGCTATATTTTGTGTCTCTGCTTCCCCTCCCATCTTCCTCTGTTCATGCCCTCTGCCCGTCCTTCTTCACCGGTCTTCTTTCTACTTCCCTAACTGTCTATACTTCCCCTCGCTGGCTCTACTCTCTCTCTCGTCCTTCAGCAAGATCTGGTGGATGTCGTCTGCGGCGACGCGCCCGTGTGCGGACGGAAGGAGGGGAAGAGGGGCGCCAAAGCGGACAAGAAGATCGGCTAGCGCTGACACGGGTTCGATTGAACCCTCGGCCACATTGTCCTCGTGTACTTGACCTCTCTTCATCAGGCTCGAGAAAAACGATAACTTGATGCTTACGACCCTCCGCACGAGAGGCTTTGGAAAACCTGGGGGCGTTGGCCCATCAAATGGAACCTTGAAGGAGTCGGCAATACCAAATCAAAGTGAGGGGGCCGAACGGATACCTATACGACCACCCTGCGGGTGATAAGGAGGTTGGGGGGGGGAGGGGGGCCAGCAATGGACAACAGTGGTGATTTTTGCGTTGCCGCTCGCTCTTGGGAGCCTTGGTGTCGAGTTGCTTACGTCATCCTTCGCTCTTGGGCACCTTGGTATCATATCGATCTCACAAGCGATGTCGTTATCGGTCTCACGATCGATGGGACCATCGACCCCACTTTCGATCTCACTCGATAGATCTCACTATCGATCTCACACAATCGATCTCACTGTCGATCTCACTATCCATCCCACTATTGATCCCACTATCGATCTCGCTATCGATCTCACTATCGATCTCGCTTTCGATCTCACTATTCATCTCACTACCGATTCCACTATCGATCTTGCTATCGATCCCACTCGATCGATCTCACTATCGATCTCACTATCGATCTCACTATCGATATCACGATCGATCTCACTATAGATCTCACCATCGATCTTTTACTGTAGATCTTTCTATCGATCTCACTATCGGTCTCATCATCCGCGCGCCACCGGTTGCCGGGCGGAGAACCTTTTGGTCCAGCCGCGGCCCAGCCACGACGGGACACCGGCGGGACACCAGCGGGACACTGGCGGGACACCGCGCGCCACCGGTTGCCGGGCGGAGAACCCTTTGGTCCAGCCACGGCCCAGCCACAAGAGAATTTCCTACCCCCCGCCCACGCAGCTTCGCCTCGCCCGCACGCACGGCACGAACACGAAACCGAAATCGATTTCCCAGTAGGGGGGCTCTCCGTTCCACTTCGATCTCACCCCCCAACCTCCGATTCACTGTCCCTGGGTGCGTGGCTGAAGTGGGATTCCGCGATGCGGACTTTCGTTGAACCCTCACTACTGAATCATAATCATTGTTGATGAACCCTCCGGTGCACATTGTATTTTTCAATTGAAGTGCCCCTCCCGGCGCTCGCACCTTTTTTTTATCATGGAAAGTCTTCGTCCTCAAACTGTGTTGTTGGCCCCCGGTTTACATCAAGTTTACATCAACAACAACAACAACAACTCCCGCCTGATACTTCCTCACAATTTATTTCCGAATCGCGCTCTCGCACGGGACCTCCTCACCATTTATTCAGGAATCGCGCTCTCGCGTGGGACGTCCTCCCAATCTATTCAGACGCGGCGCCCTCGACATTCTGGAGTCACGCTCTCGCTGTGGATTTCCTCACGATTGATTTGGGAATCGAGCTATCGCTCGAGACTTCCTTGCGATTCATGCAGGACGCACACTTCAGCAACCCGCCTGCTCGACCTGTCAGCTTGGGCCCTCCTTCCCGACCCGCCTGGTAGGGTCTGCTCGCCCGATATGCCCGTCTGGTTCTGCCGCGTGCTTTCTGCTCCTAGCCCGTGCTCCATCCTCCTCTCTCCCCCATGTCCTTCCTTTCCTCCGTCCTCTTCCCATGCTTCAGGGGCTGCGCGAAATACACGCTTCAGGTAAGAAAGAACTGGCCCGAAGGGGGTACGGTCGAGGACGAAGAGGGCGGGTATCGAGGGTTCGGGATATACGTGTTGAGTCGCACGCGAGCAGATAAGAGCAAACAGTCTGAAAATGATTGTTGCTGTTGTTGTTGTTGTTGTTGTTGTTGTTGTTGTTGTTGTTGTTGTTGTTGTTGTTGTTGTTGTTGAACTCTCATTCTTGAAGAATAATCATTGTTGATCCCCCCCACCAGTGCACATTGATTTTTTTCGATTGAAGTGCCACCCCCGGGGCTCGCACCTTGTTTTTTCTCAAGGAAAGTCTTCCTGCTCAAACTGTGCTCCTGCCCCCCGGGCTACAACAACAACGGCTCCCGCCTGAGATTTCCTCTATTTTTACTCAGGACCCCCGCTCCCGCCTGAGACTTCCGCGCAATTTACTCAGGAAAGGCGCTCCCGTCTGAGACTTCCTCGCAATGTAATCAAGACCCCCGCTCCCGCCTGAGACTTCCGTGCAATTTACGTGGGAACGGCGCTCCCGCCTGAGACTTCTTCGAATTTTACTCAGGACCCCCGCTCCTGCCTGACATTTCCGCGCAATTGACTCAGGAACGGCGCTCCCGCCTGAGACTTCCTCGCAATTTAGTGAGGACCCCCGCTCCCGCCTGAGACTTCCGTGCAATTTGCTCAGGAACGGCGCTCCCGCTTGAGACTTCCTCGCAACTTAGTCAGGGCCCCCGCTTCCGCCCGAGATTTCCTCACAATGTACTCAGGACTGCGCTCTCGCGTGCGACGTCCTCACAAATTATTCTGGAATTGCGTTTCGGCACTCAGGAAGCACGCACGCGCCAAGGACGCCTTCACAACGTGGTATCTTCCCTCTTCCTTCGTCCTTCCCCCTCCCCTTCCTCCCACTCTCCCTCGTTCTTCCCCTCCTCCTCTTGCAGGGCCCGCGCCAATTCCAATGGCGGGCAGGGAGATGTACGCCCCCGAAGGATCGTCCGCCCGTTCCGGTTTGCCCGTACGTCTAAGCCCGCCGGCCCCAGCAAAGAGAAATAATCCACCCAAAAGGGGTGTGATCGAAGACGAAGAGGGCGGGTATCGAGGGTGTAGGGTATACGTGTTGAATGACTCGCGGGCAAGTAAGAGCGCACAGCCTTAAATGGTTGTTGTTGTTATTGTTGTTGATTGATTGATTGATTGTTTGTTTGTTTGTTATTGTTGTTGTTGTTGCACTTTCATTACTGAAACTAATAATTGTTGATTGCCCCCCTCCGGTGACCATTGCGTTTTTCAATTGAAGTGCTTCCCCCGGGGCTCGCACCCTGGTTTTTTTCAGGAGAAATCACTCGGCTCAACCTGCGTTGTTGGTTCCCAGATTATAGCAACAACCGGTCCCGCCTGAGATTTCCTCACAATTTAACCAAGACCCCCGCTGCCGCCTCAGACTTCCTCGCGTTTGACTCAGGAATCGCGCTCTGGCTTGGGACTTCCTTACACTTTATTCAGGAATCGCTCTCTCGGCACTCCAGACTCGCGCTCTCGCTGGAAACTTGTATGCATTTCACTAGGGAATCACGCCCTTTCGTTGGAATGTCCCGCAATTTGCGCAAGCGCCGCGCTCCCGACACCTAGGCACCCAGGAGTCGCGCTCACGCTCGGGACTCCCTCACAACTTAGAAATCGGGATCTTCGTGGCCCCCTCGCCTCGTTGCCCTTCGTGGACCCGTTGCAGCCCTTCGTGGCCCCCTCGCTGCCCTTCGTGGCCCCGTTGCTGCCCTTCGTGGCCCACTCGCTGCCCTTCGTGGCCCCGTTGCAACCCTTCGTGGCCCCGTTGCAGCCCTCAGTGGCCCCCTCGCTGCCCTTCGTGCCCCGTTTCAGCCCTTCGTGGCCCCATCGCTAGCCTTCGTGGCCTCGTTGCAGTCCTTCGTGGCCCCCTCGCTGCCCTTCGTGGCCCCGTTGCACCCCTTCGTGGCCCCCTCGCTGCCCTTCGTGGCCCCGTTGCAAGCTTTCGTGGCGCCCTCGCTGCCCTTCGGGGCCCCGTTGCAGCCCTTCGTGGCCCCCTCGCTGCCCTTCGTGGCCCCATAGATGCATGCCCTTCGTGGCCCCCGCTCGTTCGCGCCCGTCGAGGCCCCATGTGCATTTGCTTTGTGGCCCTGCTGTCGCCCTTCGCGGCCCCCGCGCTGCCCTTCGTGGCCCTGCTGCTGCCCTCAGTGGCCCCATCCTTGCCCTCTGCGGCCCAAGATACGTATGCCCTTCGTGGCCCCCCGCTCGTTCACGCCCTTTGTGGCCCCATACGCATGCCCTTCGTGGCCCCGCTGTCGCCCTTTGTGGCCCCCTCGCTGTCCTACGTGGCCCCGTTGCCTCAGTGGCCCCGTCGTTGCCCTCTGTGGCCCCGCATTATCTGCCCTTCGCGGCCCCCGCTCGTTCAGCGCCCTCTGTGGCCCCATACGCATGCCCTTCGTGGCCCCGCTGTCGCCCTTCTTGGCCCCCCTCCTGCCCTTCATGGCTCCGCTGCCGCTCTCGCTCTCGCTTTCGCTTTCGCTCGTCGTCGCCGTCGTCGTCGCCGTCGCCGTCGCCGTCGCCGTCGCCGTCGCCGCCGCCGCCGCCGCCGCCGCCGCCGCCGCCGCCGCCGCCGTCGTCGTCGTCGTCGTCGTCGTCGTCGTCGTCGTCGTCGTCGTCGTCGTCGTCGTCGTCGTCGTCGTCGTCGTCATGGTCGGTCCCCTGTCCGTCCTTCTTGGGGTCGGGTTGCCACCGATCAGCGCTGCCGCTGGCCAGGCCGACGGTCCGCGGCCGCCCCGCCGCTTGCCAGGGCCCGGCCTGCAGGGGAGAAGAACATACCCCCCAAAAGGGGTACGATCGAAGACGAAAAGGGCGGGTATCGAGGGTTTGGGAAATACGCGTTGAATGACACTTGAGCAGATAAAAACGAACAATCTTAAAATGATTGTTGTTGTCGTTGTTTGGCGTCATCCCTCCCGCGACCCCGCCCGCGACCCACCCGCGACCCACCCCCCGACCACCCCGCGACCCGCCCGCGACCCACCCGCGACCCACCCCGCGACCCACCCGCGACCCAACCCGCGACCCGCCCGCAATCCACCCGCGACCCAGCCGCGACAAACCCCGCGACCCACCCGCGACCCACTCGCGCGAGCCGGCCCGCGACCCGACCCGCGACCCAACCCGCGACCCACCCCACAACCGTCCCGCGACCCACCCGCGACCCACCCGCGACCCACCCCGACCCACCCGCGACCCACCC